CTGCGTCCTCAAAAGGACTACGGTTGTATGAACCCTCCGTCCCCTCCAAATGTGGGTGCAGGTGTGAGTGATCTTCGCAAGGGTATGTATACCTCTCGTCTCAACTGGCTGGCGTATCAGTGTCAGCGTGGATGATACTAGCGCAGGGCACAAACCGGATATGATGACACAGCAACGGCGGCCAAGAGGCGCCAATGTTCCCCGACACGATCTGGGGAGAGCGGTCACGACGATAGCGAAAACGATTGATGGTATTGGCGAGCTTGCCCGCAGGTGCGTTTGTGTACCGCCTGTTTGTGTTGACTGTGTGGTAGCTTCCCCGATGGGTGAGTGCGGTAGTGCCTCGCATGGCTCTGCTGTGACGTCCAGTGCGCATGGCGGTACGTCCAATCGCGCCGGGCCGCGGGGCTGCGTGTGGTAGTCCAGGCCCATGTCAGCACTGTCGTCGGTGGTAGTCCAGGCCCACGTCTGCACTGTCATCAACAGGGGGCACGACGAAGTGAGCCATCACGCGGGCCGCTGGCAGCGCGCCCCACCCCCGTTGCCCAGGATGAGCGTTGACCAGTGCCTGCGAAGCGCTCGCGCCATCAGACTGCAGGGGTGTGATGAGCACGCCTTCAGGCCGAGGTATTGAAACCTCGGCCCCGCTCATGGATGCCGAGAGCTGCCACGTGCCCTCGCGCGCAGTCGCGGCTGAGGCTGTCGGGGCCAAGGTCAACACACAATGGTTCCGCGGCTTGCGACAGCGAGCTCCGAAGACGCACTGGTCGAACACTGTGAATATGGCATTGGTGCAGTCTCGAGCAGGCTCCAGAAGGGCGCGCAACGCGGTTCCCAGTTGGGCTTCGCGGGGTTCTCGAGAGTGGCTGTCATCCCGTAGGTGGCAGCGTCAAGCGTGAACTCCAGAACGGCGCGCAGCAACCCAATGTTTTCATCAAGTTGATGCAGTTCGTTACCATTGGCCGATCAGCGTCCCCACATACAACTGGCGAGTCGGAGGAGTCTCTGGACTTTTCCGCAGTCGGCTGAAGGTGTCCATCTGACCGTGCTCCATGTAAGGCATGGTGCTCCGAAGTGCATGACGGCTATGCGGTCCGCCCCAAGGACGGTTTTCCAGTGTCGTGCTGACCCCCTCTAGACGTATGTCCCGCCCCCACACGTCAGTCTTTGTAATACAGATGCAAAAGACGTTCCATGCGTCCTGTGGGTCAGACGTCCACTTCTTACCCGTAGATAGAGACATGAACAGCAGTCCTCGCCCTGAAGCTTCATGTTAGCTCCCAGGCTTCATGTGATGCCGTCTGGAGGGTCGCTGAATGGGAGGACGTGTTGTTGTGGTCGATCAGGTGGCTGAAGTTCTGGTGCTCAGCCGTCGACCCCCAGGGGAATCAGCTAGCAGCGGACGCCGTGACGGCGGCACTGGGACTGCCGGTCGCTAGTAGCCAAACCAGCTTGAGGCGAATCCTTGTCTCTTTGGCCCAGGGTTTTAGCGGTATGAGGATTCAGTCATGAATGTCGTACTCTCCCCCGTTCGACGCGCACATCGGACCCCTTCTCTCCATGTGCGCCAGTAGGATCGATCTAGCATGAGACCCCATGTCTCACGATGAGCAGGCTCTGCAAACAAGACCACGCAGTTGCAAGTGTGGTGGTCTACTTGACGGTGCGCTCGCAGATCTACCCGTGTGCACACTCCGAGCGCTCTTGCTTGCCAAAGTAGCACTGCACATTGCTCACTGGCGTCGGTTCTTGCAGGCGGGGGCACGCCTCGCAAATGGAGGTGCCAGTGTAGACGTGCCTGGCTGATGCGGACCGTCAGCCGCTGCCTCCGGCAGGCCAGGCCCAGAAAGGTCCTCCTCCAACTCCTCCAGAACATTCGACGTCTCGATTGGCTCTTGACGTGGAACCCCAGGTTTAAGTCGCGCGTGTCCCCCCACAGGGGGATTTTCGACGAACAAAAAAACTCCAAAATTACTCCCAAATGGTCAAATAATACTCAAAAAATAGTCCCCAGACTATTTTTTGACTCTTTCTGAATATTCCTCCTGTAGAGGGACGGCCCGCCTTAACCCCCGGTCCCTCGATCCCGTCCCAGGTTTTCATCCCAGGTCACTTTTTCACTGCCCCGAGGCCCGAGATTGACCTCCACAGGCCGACAACCCCGGCAGAAACTCCGGCGCGATACCGCGTGGCGCTACGAGTTTGCCAGGGGGAGGCGACCGAGGAAGAGGAGAAGAGGATGACCACGGCTCACGCCCTCTCGCCGGTGGCCCTCTGGGGGCGAAGAGCGGCAGGACCGGCATCAGGCGACGTCCCAGGCTCGCTCCGCTCTGTTCGAACGTGGCAGCTGCAGGAGGAGCAGGAGGAGCAGGAGGAGCAGGAGGACAGGGACAGGGACGAGGAGGACGGCGACGACAGCAACGAGGACGAGGAGCAGGAGGAGCAGGAGGAGCAGGAGGAGCAGGAGGAGCAGGGACAAGGACGAGGAGGGCGGAGACGACAGCAGCGAGGACGAGGAGCGCCCGCGGCCACACAAGCATCGGAGATGCTACAGTCGGGGCCCTGAAGAAGGAACCCTTTTCGTTGGGGAGGGGCTCCGTGTTCCTTAATTGTTTCGCAGCTTGCCTTGGATGTTCCTTGGGTTTTCGATACGAAATCGAAGTTCAGCTTATGGAAAATAGGGGCCTCGTTCCTTATTCAGGGTTCCTTAGGTCAACGCCTCGACTGTACGGCCGCGAGCCCAGGCGGGCGCCGCCCGGATCTGCATCGGCGGAGCGCGCGGAGGCACGGGCCCCGACGCACGGGGCCTCTGCCACGGTTTTCCCGGGAGGACGAGGGCGAGGAGGACGAGGAGGAGGAGGAGGACGAGGAGGAGAGGAGGACGAGGGCGAGGAGGAGGAGGACGAGGAGGAGGAGGGCGAGGAGGACGAGGACCAGATCGACCCAAGAGCCGCGTGGCTTTCCCCGTGGCGCTGGAGACCTGGGTGCTCCTTCTCCCTCCTCCATCGGCACCTGCCTCCTCGCTCCCTGGATGAATCTCCTGATATAGCGTTTCGCGATAATCGGCTGGCTCTCGTGGAGGGAGGACCACACAGACGACCCGCAGGGTGGACGGCGAGCCCCAAGACGCCGTTCCCGCACGGCCGCTCCGCGTGAGACTTCCTCGCACTTTCTTCAGGCGCCCTGCTCTCGCCTCAATGCAGGGCCACATTCCTGGTCCGGACGGCCACGCTGAGTTGCATAAACATACGCCGAGGTGCACATGACCGTGCTCTCACCCCTGTCCCAGCTGCCCACGCCCCTGTCCCGCCTGCTCACACCCTTGCCGCCTCCCGGGTGTTTTGCTGGGAGGATGTTTGGGGGGGCGGGATGTCGGGAATGTTTTGGACTGCGTCGGTTCATACATCGACGCGCTCCCCGCGCAGTTACCTCGTGGCCTTAGCTGCCCCAATACGCCACACGCAACCCGCAGCGTGTTGACACGGAGCTGAACACCTAGATTTCAAACGTACGTTTGGTAAAACGTGGACCAGCACGTTGAGCCAACACGCAGCGTGTTCACACGGACGCTGTTAGAGGCCTCCTAGATGGGGTCGGAGTCAATGGGGTCGGAGGGTCGCGCCGCATCGCCGATACATCGGCGATGCGTCGGCGATGCATCGGCGATGCACTGGCGATGCATCGGCGACGTGGGCGATGTATCGGCGACGTCCGCGGGAAGGAAATCGGGTTCCACATTGAACCGCATCGGCGATGCATCGGCGATGCGGCGCGATCCTCCGGCCCCATCTACTCCGACCCCATCCAGGAAGCCTAGAGCTGTGAACACGACGCGTGCTGCGTTTCAACACGGGCGTCTCCGGGCAGCCGAGTTCGTAGCAGGTGCTCGTGGCGGACAGCCGATGCGATCCGAGCCGCTGGCCCGTGGCGCCTGCTGGGCCATCGGGGAAGCGACCCCAGGCTCCAGAGCGTCCGCCGGGGCGGCGGCCCCATCCGCGGCGGCCGCCGCCTCGCCAAAACGAGGGAGGAGGAGGAGGAGGAGGAGGAGGAGGAGGAGGAGGAGGAGGAGAGGA